AAAAAAAAAAAAAAAAAAAGAAGAGAGCCTAGTGCCTAGGAATCAGTGGTCGTCACCTAGGACCGCGTGCCAGTCATGGGACGGGCTCCGTCTTTGTGTTTTCCTGTGTCTCGCACACACCTCCCTTCCTGGGCGTCACGGTCCTGCAGATTAGACACTGGGGACGTCTTGCCCCAAGCTGTCTACTAATTCGCATTTAATATGTGCTGGTCCTTCGGGTATTGAGAGTCTTTATTTATTTATAATTTTTTTTTTTTTTTTGGAAGCAGAGTCTCTGTCGGCTTTCTCAAGAAAGGGCTCTGTCCAAACATGTCGAAAAAGTTCACTAAGTACAATTTTGATGTGCAATATCATTCTGATGCAGCTTTCGCTTAGATGGTTCCTTTCTCTCTAACAGGAATACAAACATAAAGGCCCTCGACCGTTGCAAACAGACTAGAGAAAAGTGAAAACAAATCTGAATGAAGATGAAGTTTTTTCAGACCATCTGCAGGCAGCTCAGGAGTTCAAAGGGGTTTTCTGTGGAATCAGCTTCCCCTGTGGCTTTCTCTACTTCCTCTTACTCATGTGGCCGGAAGAAAAAAGTGAACCCATATGAAGAAGTGGACCAGGAAAAATACTCTAATTTAGTTCAGTCTGTCTTGTCATCCAGAGGCCTCGTCCACACCCCAGAATCCTTGGTGGAGGAAGATGCTTTACTCTATGGGCCTGTGATCAGGCATAAGCCCCCAAAGCAAGATGAGGACACACGAATGCCACGAAACTGGTTTCCTATCTTCAATCCAGAGAGAAATGATAAATCAAATGCAAGTGACCCTTCAGTTCCTTTGAAAATCCCCTTGCAAAGGAATCTTATACCAAGTGTGACCCGAGTCCTTCAGCAGACCATGACGAAACAGCAGGCTTTCTGGTTGGAGAGGTGGAAACAGCGGATGATTCTGGAACTGGGAGAAGATGGCTTTAAAGAATATACTTCAAGTAATTATCTCAAATCTTGTTGTGTATGTTTGCTGTGTTTTCTGGAATAGAGAGCAACAGTGTCTTCTGTTTTTTAACTTACTAGCTAGGAGCTCCTTTCAATTAGCAATTAACATTAAATAGCACTTTATGTGTATTAACTCACTTGACCCTCATGACAGTCCTGGGAAATATAGATATTATTATCCACATTTTACAGACGAAACTAAAATAGATCAAATAATTTGACTAATACATAAAGTCACTTGTTTTATCAGCTACTAACAATATTAAAATTGCTTGTTTTCTTTGATGATGGAAAAAAGTCAGTCACCTGAATTCTAGCTGTTAGCTAGATGCTCTGCTTAGAATCTAGTAAATACCCGGTGCGCTACTTATTAGTGTAAACTGACTCGTAAATTTAAAGACACAGCAGCAGGCCAGAACGCATGACCTGTATTTAGACCTTGGTAAACTGAAATAATCAGAGGTTCTTGATAAGTATCTGAGAATAAATACACTTTAACCTTCAACTTCTAATTTACTCAACTTGGACAAGTGAGGAGAATAGCTTCCTTCATTTATTTTATTTATTTATTTATTCATTTTTTGAGATGGAGTCTCACTCTGCCGCCCAGGCTGGAGTGCAGTGGCTCAATCTTGGCTTGCTGCAACCTCCGCCTCCCGGGCTCAAGCGATTCTCCTGCCTCAGCCTCCTGAGTAGCTGGGACTACAGATGTGCGCCACCACGCCCGGCTAATTTTTTGTATTTTTAGTAGAGACGGGGTTTCACTGTATTAGCCAGGATGGTCTCGATCTCCTGACCTCGTGATCCACCCGCCGTGGCCTTGCAAAGTGCTGAGATTACGACAGGCTTGAGCCACTGCGCCTGGCCACAAACTCTTTTTATTTTTAAGAATAGTGTACTAACCCTTGCCGTAGGCTGGGCCTCTATTTTAAAAGTCGTCTTTCCCCTAATACAGACTCTTTTTTTTTTTTTTTTTTTTTTGTGACGGAGTTTCACTCATGTTACCCAGCCTGGAGTGCAATGGCGCGATCTCGGCTCACCGCAACCTCCGCCTCCTGGGTTCAGGCAATTCTCCTGCCTCAGCCTCCTGAGTAGCCGGAATTACAGGCACACACCACCATGCCCAGCTCATTTTTTGTATTTTTAGTAGACACGGGGTTTCACCATGTTGACCAGGATGGTCTCGATCTCTTGACCTCGTGATCCACCCGCCTCAGCCTCCCAAAGTGCTGGGATTACAGGCTTGAGCCACCGCGCCCGGCCCTATACAGACTCTTAAAACTATGTGTGTGGGCATGTGTGTAACATATTAAATATGTCATATGTTCTAAAGAAAAATACTATGTACAAGTGATACTGGATATAAGAAAAAATAGTCAAGACCTTAGCTCCTTATAACATTCCTCAGCTGTGTGGGGTAAGGATTATATATGCAAGAGCTAACGGCCTCCCTGAGATAGTTAATTAGTAGCAAACACCAAACTATTCTCTGCTTTCCAAGCAAGCAACATAAAAATCTTTTAATGGCATCTTACAGTTTTTTAAAAATTTAGAATTGAGTTTTCTCATGAGAAGTTATTTTCCTTAAACCAGGAATATCACAACTGAAATTACTAATAAGAAATGTATTATTAAAAGGTAGAAACCTGCTGGGACATGTGGTACCCTAGGGCCTGTAGCTCTTGGCATAAAGTAAGGAAGTGCAGCAGAGAGGAATTTGTTTGGAATGTGAATGAGCCCCACTAGCCCAGGCAGAGAGAAGACTGTGGGTTTTCTTTATAGAGTCAGCTTTGTTGATCTAGATTAGCCCCTAGCTGTGTTTCTCAGTTAACTCAGGAGCGACCTTAAGAAATGAGCACAATCACTTTTTTTTTTTTTTTTTTTCTGGAGACAGGGTCTCATTCTGGCACCCAGGCGGGAGTGCAGTGGTGTGATCACAGCTCTCAGCAGACGTGACCTCCCGAACTCAAGTGATTCTCCCATCTCAGCCTCCTGAGCAGCTGGGATCACAGGGGTGCACCACCATGACTGGCTTACTTATTTATTTATTTATTTTTATTTATTTATGTTTTTTGAGACCCAGTCTTGCTGTCACCCAGGCTGGAGTGCAGTGGCACATCTTGGCTCATTGCAACCTCCGCCTCCCAAGTTCAAGTGATTCCCTCCTGAGTAGCTAGAATTACAGGTGCATGCCACCACACCCAACTAATTTTTGTGTTTTCAGTAGAGGCACGGTTTTACCATGTTGGCCAGGCTGGTCTCAAACTCCTGACCTCAGGTGATCTGCCCGCCTTGGCCTCTCAAAGTGCTGGGATTACAGGCATGAGCCTTCACTCCCAGGCAATTTTTTTATTTTTTGTAGGGATGATGGTCTCCCTGTGATTCCCAGGCTGGTCTCCAACTCCTGTAGTCAAGATGCTCCCACCTCGGCCTCCCAAAGTATTGGGATTACAGGTGTGAGCCACCGCACCCAGGCAGAATCACTCTTTTTAAGAAAATGAGTATTAGTAAGCGATGGGTTCTGAAATAAATAAGGGGATAATTAGTGTCATGGTGAGAAAAAGAAAAAGCGTGTCAGAGCTCACTAAATTGATTAATGCGTCTGGAGGATACTAAATCCCAAACCCAAGAAGGTGGCACCCAAGAAGAATTACATTTAAAAAATTAAAAAGATTTTTTGTAATGAAAAATATTGGATCAATAAATTAATTTCTACCTAGTCTTCTCAAAGGTGAGAACATAGAAATGTGTCCAGAGCTGGCATTCTTCCAAATACTTGAGCAGTTTCCCAAGCATCAGTTCACCTTTTGAAGACTGGCGGGAATGAGAGTCTGACTTACTCTAATTTGTATTTTGTGTATAAATACACACAAAGGGCTGGGGTTTAGATTTTAGTTTTTGGCCGGGCATGGTGGCTCACGCCTGTAATCTCAGCACTTTGGGAGGCTGAGGCAGGCAGATCACCTGAGGTCAGGAGTTCAAGACCAGCCTGGCCAACATGGTGAAACCCTGTCTTTAAAAAAAAAAAAAAAAGAAAAAAGTATAGATTTTAGTTTTTATGTTTTGCTATACTGATTTAATTCTGAAGTATTAGCCATCCTGCCAGTTCCATCATCAGAATACTAGAGATGCTTGAAGGTTTATTTAATGCACTTCATATACTAGGACTTGAAACATTTCACTATTACTTTGAGTGAGTAAGCGGACCTATGCTACATGCAGTAAATCTATTCTGGAATCATTTTTTATTTTTATAAATTGAATCATGTTGAATGTTCTGAGCCTTAGAGTCTAAAGGATCCTGTAATCTAG